ATGAAAGAAATAGAGAAAAAGAATGTACATAGTCTTTATAAGGCAAACTTTTCTTGTGCTTGAAGGGTCCTCTAACAATTTTTTTTTATTCTTATAAATGTCAACTAAACATTTTGCATTATAGGAACATACCACAAAAAAAAAGTTATAAATTATTAGGGGGCAGAAGAAAACAAAAAAATATGTAGCATCCGTCACAATTACGAAATTGAAAGGTCTTGTGTTTTAGTGTGGAAACAATGCTCCCCCTCCTTATTATACAGAAAATATCTTGCAAGAGATAAGCAGAAACGACAACACCAGGATTCGATCACAGCCATTTCTATTTGATTAAGTGCTTTTATATATGAGTGGTGTGAAAGTGCTTTTTGGTGCTTTTGTGGGCGCCATGGAAAAGGGTGCCAAGAATGTGGAGAAGATGATATATATATATATATATATATATATATCGGGTCATCACATTTTCTCCAAGTTCTCAGTTCGATGGCTTTGTCTTTTGAATTCAGTATAGGGCTGAGGATCCTTCCAGAAATTTGGAGGAAAAAAACAAAGGACCTCAAATCAGCTTTCCAAGAATCAAAACTTCCAGCATGATACCCTTTTTTAACTTGTATATAGAGCGGTCAAGAGGTAGAAGACCTTAGACCGTTGGGCGTTACGTTTTTCTGCAGATGACCCTAACATGAAAAATTATAAATATATTTAAGAATAAAAATTGTTGCAAAACTTTTTTCTCGCAAGTGTTTTATAGTTTTTATGCTTTTTCGACGAAGGCGTTAGAAGCTAAATCGAGAGTGTCGAAATGACGAATTTATGAAACAATCCAGATGTTATTTGTTTTCAAATTATAATTGATCATATTAAAGACATGTCAAAATAGAATAGATCATTCTATAAGAAAGCCTTGGCAATACAAACTGGCAGTGGCGGTCTAAGTTTGCCAATGACTGGGTGGTGGTGATGCCCAAGGCAATTTCCTCCTTTTCTAGTAGTTTGACTTTTCTACAGAACACCTAATTTGATTTTGTGAACCAGAGATCTTCATGTGTCACAAAATAACCAATAATGGTGGAAGTCCAAGACTTTTGTTTATTTGTTTTTGAAGTTTATCTTTATTTATTTATTATTTATAAATAATTATTGTTGGGTTTGTCCTTAATTGATTGAGGTGTTGACTTGGGGTATTTATTTTATTTTATTTCACTTTCACATTATCCATTTATTTTATATTAATTTTTTTGGGTACTATTGCAGGTTTGTTTTTTCAGACAATTTGTTAGGTCGGTTCCTAAAGTTGATTACTTAACCCTGCGGCATGGGTTTATCATGGTAGGTATTTTTAATCAAAAAGAATTTTTTTTTTTTTTTTTTTTCTTTTTTTTTTTTACATAATAATATTTGTAATAATAATTATTGTAAAAACAATTATTGTACCAGGCACATTTGGCACCCCAAAGCCATCAGAAATTCAATTTCCAAAAATACATAAACAGATCCCTTGAAGAGGATTTCAAGGTGGTTGTGGGAATCAGGTGAGTGATTTGGTGTTTTCTTCTCCTTTTCTTCTTCTTTTCTTTCCTTATAAATTTTGAATTAATTTATATATATATTTTTGGTCTCAAATTGCAGCCCTCCAATTTGGTTATTTGCTGTGATATTTCTACTCTTCAATACTCATGGTGAGTATAAATAATAATATTTTTTTCTTCATATTTGAAATTAAAACTTTTTATTAAATTAATTATTTGATTATTTATTCTTGAATTTCTTTTGGACAGGATGGTATTCTTATCTTTGGCTACCCTTTATCCCATTGATTGTAAGCAAAATCTCTTCCTTCCCATGCCATAGTGTGTATGTATTTATACAGTGCAACCCCAAGATGGATCTAACGGTGGACAATGCACTTCCATTTGCAGATCATTCTCTTGGTGGGGACCAAGCTACAGGTGATCATAACCAAAATGGGTCTTAGAATCCAAGAAAGAGGAGAGGTTGTGAAGGGGGTTCCGGTGGTTCAACCTGGTGATCACCTCTTCTGGTTCAACCGGCCTCGCCTCATTCTCTATCTCATCAACTTCGTTCTCTTTCAGGTACCTTCCTAAATTAATTCATATGAACTTAATTCATTTTTAGGGTTTACAATTAGTCAAATCTCATGTATATTGACCATTTTTTTCGCATGATCTTTCAATTTTTTATCACTTGCAGAATGCCTTCCAGCTTGCTTTCTTTGCATGGAGTTGGGTAAGCTACATGTTTTTAGCCCTTAATCGGTTCATTAATTTGAGATTAGATAAGTGTTTAAGAAAATTAAAACACTGCTACTTTTTTGTGTTTTCAGTATGAATTTAGTTTGAAATCTTGCTTCCACGAGCACATTGAGGACATAATCATCAGAGTTTCAATGGGGTGGGTCTCACTTTTTTAATGCCCTTCAATTCATACTTTCCTAATTCTGTAAAGTGTTGTAAGTTCTAACACTCACCGAATGGTGGACATTTCAGGATCCTTATACAGATTCTGTGCAGTTATGTCACTCTCCCCCTCTATGCCCTTGTCACACAGGTAACGATTTAATTAAAATGAAGACTAAATGTCACTAGATTGAATGATCATCAACTTATATGATAGCATTTTAACGAGACTTTTAATTAGTATCTTTGCCACTATTAATAGTCGAATCTGAATAATAAAGCATGATGTATTGTCGGATTCAATATGAATCACACATTTAAATATGCTTTCATTATACATTACCAATGATTGAGACCAAACAATACAAATAAAATAATTACCAAATATATTTGAGTGATCCTAAAATATTTGAAGTCCTAAGTATGTTGAAATAAATTGTGATGACTTTATATATTTGTGATTTGGACAGATGGGTTCAACCATGAAGCCAACCATATTCAATGAAAGAGTAGCCGCTGCCCTGCGCAACTGGCATCACACGGCAAGGAAGCACATAAAGCATAACAAAGGGTCCGTGACCCCAATGTCTAGTAGGCCAGCCACCCCATCCCACCACATGTCCCCTATTCACCTCCTCCGGAATTATCGGAGTGAGGTGGACAGCTTCTACAACTCACCACGAAGATCGAACTTCGAGGGTGAACGTTGGGACACAGAGTCACCCTCCCCGTCACACCACCTCCATGTGGATGGTACTTCATCCTCCCACCATCACCAAATCGAATTGGGAAATGTAGAGCATGAGAAGGATGTTGATGTCAACGAACCAAACTCGGTTCATGCAGCTCCTACCACACCAACAACCAATCAACCGGCTCGAATCCAACATGAAATTAATATGGGACAGACCAAAGACTTCTCGTTTGACAAGAGGCAAAGTACATAACACAGTAATATGTGCATGCATGCGTCGAGAATTTTGTTGCATTGCCATTAGAGATCGATGAGGATTGGGACAATGACGATGACAATGGTAATTGCTTGTACAATGGCGATTTAATTGAAGCGAATGGAGATACTTCAAGCCTTTGATTTTGCATTTTGTCTTGTATAATATTGTTCTTTTTCTTTACTTCTTTTCTTCTTTAATTTGGTTCAAAACCGAAACATATATTTATACATATACACATATATAACAGTGATTGTTTTTTTCTTTTCTCGTATCAACACTCTTAATTTGATCTTAATTTGAGGAACGATATAGAAGAGAGACGAAAAAAAGAGAAAGGAAAGTAATTTTTTTAAATTTGTTCTTTTGTGTTATCATAATTTCTTACAAATTTGATTTTTAATCATTTTAAGAGAAAAATAACTTTTATTATTATTGTTTTTTTATGTGCGTGGAGACTACATCAATATATAAAAATAAAGGCTAAAAGTCACTTTTGGTCATTGTAGTTTGGCACTTCAACCACTTTTGACCATGTAGTTTCAATTTCGTTAATTTTGACAATGTAGTTTCATATTTGTAGCAATTCAATAACAAATTAGTATTCTTGTCAATTTCTTTAACGATGCAATGGGCAATTTCGTCAACCTAAAATCCTTGAGCATAAAAGCTCGTCTGAAACTCCCCTAATTTCATATTATGACTTGAAATTGGTCATTTGGGTTTAGCGTTCTTCATAAATTGGGATTAGTGGTTGAATTTTGAGCTCTAAAATGAAATGGGGAGAATTTCAAACAAGCTTTTACGCTCAAGGGTTTGGGTTGATGAAATTGCCCCTTGCATCGTTAAAAAAATTGACAAGAATACTAACATGTCCTTGAATTGCTATAAATACGAAACTACAATGGCAAAATTGACAAAATTGAAACTAAATTGTCAAAAGTGATTGAAGTGCCAAATTACAGGGACCAAAAGTGACTTTTGACTTAAAAAAAAGAAAGAAATATAATTCACTTTTACCACGTAGGCATTTAACATATATTTATTAATGATTTCATTAACGAACGGCCTTAAATGTAACTTTTTAATATGAGTTTATGTATGAATCTGTAAAGTTTTACAACATCGCATGCCAATAAACTCTATAAATAAACAAACTAATTGGTGTGAATTCTAACAAATTACTACAAAGTTACCTCAAGGTGGGGCCGGTTTAAACTCTGGCTTGGTGATCAACTCTAAATTGCACCAACCAATGCCTGCATCCCAGCAAAGATCACTAAAATTTGGAAGCTAGCACAAATGGATAACCCTCAGCATCGAAATCTCGGTGTGTTAATTTAAAAGCCCCAAAACCCCACAAAAGACATAAAAAACGAAGAAGAAAACTTTCAGTTTCGAAATCAAAGTCTGCTGCAAAACGACAGCCACTGCCTCATCAAACGCTTATAAATACAACCCCTGGTTTTCCTCTGCTTTCAGCGGCGGCCGCCTCCTCCTCCCCTTGTTTCTTTGCCGCCTCTGATCAAAACTCCAAGTACCCTTCGGCCTCCTCCTTATAAATATTATCACATACAAGAAATTCATATCAATTTCCAAAAAGAAGAAAGAGAGAGAAATTTGATTGGGAGATATGGAGATAGCAGAGGGCTTGTTGGGTAAGTTGGGTAGGCAGTGTTATGCAGTTTTGTGCTTGGGTGTGATACTTTTGGCTGTAACTCTGGCTAACTATGTCGGTGCTGAGGAGCAGGAGGACCCCATGGAGCGGACCAGGCGGCGGCTTCGTGCCATCCATGGCCCGCCTTTTCGTCCCAGAGGCAGTGTGCATAAAGCTTAGGGTCACTTTGGCAAGGATAGCAGTGAATCTGTGAAGCTTGTGTTTTTGCTTCTTCTTGTAAAATTTTCAACGTTAGCTTCTTGTAATTATGTAACTATTGAGTACTGACATGGTCCTATAGTGTATGTGATCAAATATTTATTTTATTTTAAGTATTGACATGGTTCTGTTTCTTATGAATACAAATTTTATTGCAAATGACCCACTAGTGTATTAGTTTGAAGTATTTATTTTCTTAAGTAAGGTTACGAGTTCGAGTTTTAGCATTCGTGTAGTATGTGTGAGTTTAATATATTATCGCCCCTCTTAATAGGAAAGGTCCTAAAAAAAATACAAATACAAATTTTATTAGAAGCAGTTGAGTTATTCTTATTTTAGTGGGAAAAAAACCAAAGCAAATATTTTTTGTTTTTGGTTTTAGAAAGACGAAATTTATTGAAAGTTTAAAGAGAGGTACATTTTCTTAATTAGATCAGGAGGTTTTTCAAACCAAACATACTCTATTAATTCATAAGCTTAATTATTTCTTCGCGTGAGATCATTGCCAACAATAGCCGATTTAGTAACTTAACAAATAGGTATAATTGCAATTATTATTTTTATTTATACAAACAATATGATATTTACAAGATACTTCAGAGGTAGGGAACATAAGTTTTGTATAGTGGTGGTCATCAATCTGGCCGAACCTAACTAAATTTGCCAATTCAGACAGTAATGGTCAGTTTGGTTTGATTTTGATAAAAAAAAAATAAAAATGAAACGGTTTTAAAACAAACTGAACTGTAATGATTTGTTTTGGTTTGATTGTGAGCTTTTGCAAACTGGCCTAAATCGAACAGTACCGTATACTTGTATATTTTAATTTACACGTGTAGTTTTCTCATTAGATAATTACTAGATATGAATGTTAAATGGATGTAACTTTGAGTAACTATATTAGTTTTTGAACTTTGAAGTTTTATGACATATTGAATTTTAGGATAGTCTGACATGCTCGAAAAAGAAAAAAAGAAAAAAGAAAAGGTAACAAGTTATAAGTTCTTTTTGTTGTAATTGAGCTAACAAAGTTGAGAAAATGCAAAAGAAAAAGGAATTGGGCTTAGGCCCAAATCGGTCAAAACAAACTATCTTAAATTGATTTGGTTTGGTTTCCTCTAAGATTTTTGTTACAACCAAACCGAAACTAAACTGTTTTATAGTGATTAGTTCGGGCGTAATTTTGAAGTGAAACCGATCCAATCTAAATAATGTCCGCATCCAATTTTATAAGAAGGATATTTAATAATGCAAGCCCATTCATTCATTGCAAGGAAACTATAGATTGAATACCAATTTGGGCCATTCCCATTTGAGTCCAATACTAAATGAAAGGTGGCGAAATTCTATAGGGCAAATGGATGGACTCAATGTGCAACAAATAAGTATAATTGCCAACTGTACTAAAAGCAAAGCTGCCGAACTCTCCCGATCCATTATTATCTTCGTCACCGTTTAACTAACCCAACCATAATTATGCCTCGTTAAATAAATTCAACGTTTTTCACATTAATTGCGATCTACATTTCTACTTTTGTTCTCTTCTCTCTCTCTCTCTCTCTCTCTGAAGCTTACGCTCTCTTCGTGTTGTTGACAATGGCTCGAGGCACATCTCAGTCTCAAACGACGGCGTCCTCCTCCACCTCACGACCCGGCGTAATGGCTCCCCGCGGCTCTGCCGCCGCTACGGCCGGAATGCGCCGCCGTCGCATAGGAGGCTCTACCAGCTCCGGCAGCGTCGGTGGAGGCGGAGGGGGGTCTGGTGCTGGCAACAACATGCTCAGGTTCTACACAGATGACGCTCCTGGATTGAAGATCACGCCGACTGTTGTTCTCGTCATGAGCCTCTGCTTCATCGGCTTCGTTACGGCTCTTCATGTGTTCGGCAAGCTCTATCTCCATCGATCCGGTGGTGGAGCTTGAGTTTCGGGTCCTGGTTCAGATCGGGTCTCTATTCGAAGCTTAATCGGTAATCGAACAATACGGTGTTTTCTTTTTATTATGCTCTGTAAATTTTCGCAGGGTTGATGTTGGTAGGGTTTCAATTTTGTTTAACTCTGGATTGGTTGGATCTTGGATGGTGGTTTTAACGAAATCGAAGTGATATTTAGCCGTTCTTAATTTTGCACTGATATTTTTTTTTACATATTGATCTTGATTTTAGCTCCAAATCGATGTTTGTGTATGTTTTGTTCATTTTCGTTTTGGATTTGTTAAAATTTTAAGAGTACAAGAAAACAGGATTTGAATATGTGCACATAGTTCCATGATGCATAGTTATAAAAAGTATGTAGCCTTTTTGCTAGTAAATGCTGAAATTGGAAAACGGTATCCAAAGAAAAAGAATAGATCTTTGGAGAAAGGTGTTTTTCATTGCAGAAGCCCGCTTTTGCTGAAAAATTCCTGGTTTTTTACTTTGTTCTTGACTGAGTGGATAATATCACATAATTCTGTTCAATTCAGGTAGGCATCTCCCTTTTGTTCAAACAAAAGGGCCAGAATCTCTTTTATGTGTACAGCATGTGATCTTAGGTGGTTCTTTAATGGAAATTTAGTGCTTATAAGAATACTGTTGTATGATTACTCTTTTTTGGTCAAAACTGTTGTATGATTACTGTTTTTTGGCCGAAACTGTTGTATGATAACTAATCACTGATAATTGGTTAGTCTTCTAATTGCATACAAGTTCTTCTGAGTATCATTGATAATTTTTAGCAGATCATGAACTAGATAGTGTTATTTTTGTATCCTAATAGATGGCCAATTTACTCTGATATATGATCTCCACTAATTATTGCCTCTTGAGAAAATAAGTTAAGGATGACTTTGCATTGCGTTGGATTTGTCTTTGTACATTGACTTTTGAATTATGATCAGATAACCATGCCCTTGATCCTTTTTCTTGGCTGGTTGAGATCTAAATAAATGGAAAGAAAAAAAAGGATTAAACATCAGCAGAATGCAAAGAACGCGATAGAAACTTACTGTAGCGAGGCTTCTTGTCTAGGTGCACATGATAGTCAATTTGTCAGTGTAATTAGAAGGAATGAAGTTTGTTATTTCCATATTTGTAAGTAAGAGGGGGGGGTGTTCCTAAGTTCTTATAGAGTGCCCCTTTCCCATGTTTATCTTCAAATCATTAAATACTGACTTTGATCGCAACAAATCTTTCATTGATGATTAATATAATGTTTATTGGAGGGAAGGCTAACATGAGTTTTGGGCTGGGGCTGAGTTTATCCATAGAGTTCACCATTTTACACTTGTTGATCCCCTCAACATCTCAGTGGTTTAGTGTATAGATAGATCGTTGTGGATTTGACATTGCTTGGTGAGTACAGAGCAAATAGAAATATTTGTTGTTCCAATATATGACCGCGCAAAAGTAAGAGTTTCCCTAGATAGAAGTGTTCTAATTGTATGATAAAACTCTTTTAAGCATTATATTATTTACTTTACTTGTTTTGAAGCTTTTAGAATGAGGTGAGCTTTATGTTTATATTAGAGTTCATGTCTACCGGATGCTCTGTTGGTTTTGGGATTTGTGGCAGACCCTGTATGTAAGGTTAGTTGGATGAGTTTTACCTACCTGACAGATTGTTGAGAATTGCAAAATGTCTTACTGATTTACAAAACTTTTTGAATAAGTCGACACTGCTCCATGGTAGAATATTATTTTGAAGCAAAGTGCTAGTGATTGTTAGGATTTATTGAATGGGGATGGATGAATATACCAATAGTTGTACCTCATCTGATTTTTCATTTGCTTTCAAAACAAATAGTTTCGGCTTTGTTCGTGTAGTTTAGTTGTCAAGATTGTGTTTGGTTGTGTTTCTGTGTGTTTCTGTGTTGCCCTTTGTCGTCCTTCCATTCTCGAATTTAATTTTTTTCTCTGTATAGGATTAAGGTTTCCATTCTCCTCAACATCTGTGAGGATCTCTCCTAATCATTTTCCCTTATAAACTAATAGGCTTTTAAGCATCTTATGCCATGTGGAGAAGCCCACATCTTATGGGATTGCTTTCATTTTTTCTTCACTCTCTCTAACCTACAAGGCTAGAGAGGGTGAGCAGAATCTTGCTCAAGCTTCTTCTCTAGATCTGCCAATGATGAACCTAAGCCCTCGAACAGTTGTGAACCTTGCTTCCATGCCAGTCAAATTTGGTAAAAATAAATAGGTTCATTATGATCCTAGATTTGGGGCTTTATTGAGTGGTAATAAATTCGCGTAGATGGAATCCTAATAGTCATCTTTTTAGGACTTTTACTATTGAGATGAGCGATAATATACTAAATTCATACTTAATACACAGATAATAGGATTCGAACTTAAGACCTTGCCTAGGTGAGCAATTGCTCTAAACCATTACACTAGTGGATCCTTTGCAATACTAATAGTGCTTTTAATCCACTAAATTAATTGAGTTATTTTATTTAGACTTACCTTGACTCTATTTTATTTGACACCCCCAAGTCTTACAAAATTACAGTCCATTGATTCTGTTCTATTGCAGATAACCTTTTAAACATAAAATCCGGTTGTTGAACCATGGATAGGAGAATCAGTTTTGGATTTGATGTGCTTGGCCAGCAAGCGAGTTTTGGATAGGAGGAGAATTGAGTTTTTGAGTTGTTTGTGCTTGTGTGAGGTTGGGTTGGTAGAGGGGTGGGTGATTCTGGTGTATCGCGGTGGATGAGCTTAATGGTCAACCCCTGTTTGCCATGGTGTCTCTTGGCAGCAAGCAAGAAATAGCCATTGATTCTGTTCCAGATAAGATAACCTTTTAAAGATACAATCTGGATTAAAAAAAAAAAAAAAAAAAAAAAAAAAAAAAAAAAAAAAAAAAAAAATCACCCTAATAATCAAATATATCAGGGATTATATCTGCTAATTGCTCTCATCATAAACTACAAGAGTGCGACTTAGCACTAGAGCATCCATGTGGTACTTCCTCCTCCTCCTCATCATCAATATTGATCACAACATTCATTGATTTTCTTTTTCTTTCATGTATTTGTTGTGGTGCTTTATTGGTCTTTTTATGAGCACTTGCTCTTATTCTGTCGAACTTATTATGATTCCTCCTCAATCGACAAACCACAAAATCAAAACCAGGAGTAGTTTGATCATGACCATCATCACCTACAAAAAGGCTATATTCATCCAAAAACCACTCAGCATCGTGCTCCGACTTTGGATTCTTATACCGAAGCTTTCTTACGCTACCAATAGGATTAAGGTTTCCATCGTAAATCAATTTGGGGGCTACTCGTTGGCTCCAAGTCCCTTCGCGGCCAATCCTGCGATGGGTGCGCGAACTGCAGTAGTTTATCCTCTTGAGCTGGCAGAGGAAGTATAAGTCTTGATCATGGATTTGATCTCTTCCATAGTCTTCCCATATCTTCCATGGTTCTTTGGTGCCGAAGAGGTCCTCGTCATGAACAATGCCGTGGTATGACTGGTTCAAAGGCTCTCTCTCAATCACCATCTTATAGAGAATAGAGCGGATGATTTCTTGATCTGTGGGGTGGAAGTGGAAAGCCAACGACACATTACGCGAATTCGCCATTAATGCTAATATATGATGGATCAAGTGGAGGAGTTCTTGTTTCTCTCTATTGTTTGCATAAAGTTTTGATGGAACAAGGAGACTAAGGCAAGAGATGTGTGGTATTTATAAGCATCACTGAGTCCATGTAGGGATAGGAACATCCTAGGAATTGGAATGTTTGGGCATGCTTAGTTATTAGAAAAGGGAAAGGATTATTGACCGAAATGGTAACCCGAAAAGTTATGAATCAGGAAACTTAGGAATATGGGAATTAAAGAATTATAATTTGATTAAGGGTTAACTACATAAAACTACCTGAACTTTGGGAATTGTTTTAAATTAGTACCCAACCTTTTAAATTTTACACGTAGATACCTAAATTCACAGAAAACATACAAATCAGACCTTTTGTTAGCAAGTCCGTATGAAGAGACATTAAGTGCTGATGTGTCAGGTTTGATGTGACATTTTTAAAGAGATTTTCTATTTAAACTCCGCACTTCTCTTTGTTCACAACAATATTTAAATCATTAAGCCGTAAGTTTTATTATTGTGTAAAAAGACAAAAAAAGTCATCTAATTTAATAATTAACCTTGGTGTATCTATACACCCCACACCCCATCACTCTTCATATTAAGTTTTAGAAACCTCCTTCCAATTTTTTGTTTACAAACTCTCTCTCTCTCTCTCTCTCTCTCTCTCTCTCTCTCTCAACAATACCCCAGTGTTAGAATTCCAGTTACAATTCTTGAAGAGAGGTAAAGTTGTTCTCTTTCTCTAGAAAGTATTAAATTTCTAATTTGGGGTTTCATTTGTTTGTGTGTTTTTTTTGCTGGTAACAAAGAAAATTGTGGGGTTTAAATAGAAAATCTATTTTAGTTATATATATATATATATATATATTTTTTTTTCAATTTGGGGTGTATTTAACGGTAGTTTGGGAAGATAATGGAGTTTTCTTAGAAATTGTGAAAATTTAAATTAAAAGTTGGGGTGAACTTAGAACATGGAGTGAACTAAGAGAAGTGTGAGGTTTAAATAGAAAATCTCTTTTTTTAATATGGAGTGGACCTCCATGTGGATTATAAAAAAAAAACCCAATCCTAGACATGTATTTATAAAAAAACCCAAGCACTATTTAAACATAGAAACACACCCAAAATCAACAATGATATATTTTTTGGGTGTGTTTATAAATGGGTTTTGAGTGTGTGTAATGATGGGTTTTGAGTGTGTTTATAAAGTGTTTTGGGTGTTGGGTTTTTTTTATAATTTCAGCTCCCATTTTGGGTGTTTTAGTGAAACTCCCTAAAAATTAATTAAAATTTTAAAATAAAATATCTAAAAAAATAAAAAAAATAAAAAGAAACAGTAACCACTTTCATAAGAGGACTATTAATCCCGACCCCAGCCATGAATAGGTGTTCATGTTCCCTACCTTTTAAATTGAAACAGTAACCTCCACATTGCCACCATTAATCCCGAGTCCCACCCCAGCCATCACTGAAACAATACCAAGAAAACCCAACCACCATTGGAACAGTAACAAGAAAACCCAGCCCCCTTCCCCAACACTCTCTCCCTCTCCCCTTCTCTCTCTCTCTCTCTCTCTCTCTCTCTCTCGCACAGATTAGCCACAGCCCGACCCCCAGCCACAACAGCCGCCACCAAACCCCCTGGAATTCCTCAGCCCACACTCTGCACCACCGCACCACTCACCCTTTAATAAGTAAACATGTAAATTACTTGGAGACGGGAGAATAGATAGTAGCAAGGGGTTTCGAGTTTCAAATCTGGAACATGATTTTCCATATGGAATTAGGAAAGCGTGGAGAGGTCTGAGGCAGGGAGTATGTGTTAGTCTTTGCACCATTGGCCGCCTATAGGACCCGACCCATCAAAAGAAGGAAAGGACAGATAAATTAAAATTAAACCGGGTCGGGAGACGGAATGGCCAATGGGATGTGTACCCGCCAAAAATACCGTTAATGAAGTGGAGGCTGACGAGTCTTTCCTTCTCCAAAAATGAAAAAAACTGTCCGAAAACTCAAAGGAAGACAGAGAGATGCAACGCAGTGCCTGAACGAGACGAGACGAGAGAGAGCCTCTCTAACCCAGCGAGTCGACTCTCCATTGCACTTTTGGTAACTGATCTGCATTTTGCTTTGACAACAGAAATTGCAAATGTAACCAACCCATATATTAGGTCTTATCTTACAATTTTGATACCAGTATCTATCTGTGATATCCCTTTTCTTAGAGAATTCTTGGGAACATCAGTCCTGCAACGCCGGAGCATGAATTGGAGTAGGGACGGTGTTGTGAATTTTAGATAACCTAAAAACGAAGATTATTCTAAATATAAATTATACACAAGTGCACAAGATTAATCATAATTTAGTAAGGCGAACACAAAGTCTTTTGCACGAAGATTGAGTTTAACTTTTAATTAAAGTTATTGACTGAAATAGTCCCTCAACTTTAGCTCCAGTATCATTTTGGTTTGCTAACTAAAATTTTCATTTCAATTGTCCATTAACTCTTCATTTGGTATCAAAACGGTCCCATCGTTAAAATATGTTAATATTACATTTATATTGAGGGGTAAAATTGTCCATATGAATTAAAATATTAATACAATAATTAAAAATTAAAGAAAACTATTATAGGAACTTGTACCTAATTTTAAAATTGAAAAAATAGAATCTTACCACAAACATGGCTTTTTTTTTTGGCTGACATGAACTTAAAAAGTAATAATTTTTTTTCTCTATTATTTAAATTAATTTAAAAAAATTAAAATTAGATAAATACAAAATTTTTAACAAAAAATTTAAAAAAATAACCCAAAAACAAACAAACCCAGGAACTGTAGAAAACCACACCTCTTCACTCCAACCCGGTAGCCTCCCCCTTTCAGCCTCCACCCATCATCACCCAACCACTCCTAGCCGCTCTCACCGTGACCCACACCTTCTCTCTCTCTCTCTCTCTCTCTCTCTCTCTCTCCCACCCCCAGATCTACGATCCTCGTCCATCACCACCAAACTTCCAACACTCTCTACAGTCCAAATCCATGAAAATTACCACCCAAAAGCTACAAAAATGAAAACCCATGAATGGTGGTGTTTCTCTCTCTCTCTCTCTCTCTCTCTCTCTCTCTCTCTCTCTCTCTCTCTCTCTCGCTTGTCTATGTGCACCAACCCAAATCTGATATGAGGTTATTTTTGTTGGGTATGACTTATATTTGAATCACGTTGGCTTGATTTGCAGGGCTCCTTTGGGTTTGAAGTTGCTACTTTGTGTGAGAGATCGAGGGGGTTGAAGAAGGGAGGTTGGGTTAAGGATGGGGGAGACTGAGATGGGGTAGGCTGAGATGTGGGATGGAGTCGTGAGATGGGGAATGAGTCAGGATAGTTTGGTAGTTGTATATGGACAATTTCGCCACTCAATTTAACAATAAAATTAACAGACTTTGACGATAGGACCAATTTGATACTAAATGGAGAGTTGAAGGACGGTTGAAATGAAAATTTTAGTTGGTGCACTAAAATGAGACTGGAGCAAAAGTTGGGGGACCATTTTAGTCAATAACCCTTTAACTAATTTAACCTAATTTACTTCACAAAACACTTAAAATCCTCATTGTGTTTACGTGAGTATGCATACTCACGTAAACACAAAGGGGATTTTGAATGAGTGATTTAACTAATTAAACTAACGAAATTAAAAGACAACACTAGTAGAAAAATCAAAGCACACAAAGATGATAAATTCAAATTGATGAAAGCACTAGGACAATGAATTCACCACTAGTAATATGATCTAGTCTTTTATTCACCTACCAATTAACTAAGCAATTGATGTTGCCGCTTAATTTTCATCTTTCTTGAATAGCTTATGATATTTAGGCTAACCCAAATATTTGTACATGCAATTCGCCTATGGTATTTAAGTCAAATATGAACACATAGAAAGAGTGAAAACCTCTAACAAGCATGTAAACCCTAGGAGCATGGTATTCACCCTAGAAGATTTAAAAATCTTGATCACTTGAAGTAAGCCTCAAATTAAGTAGGGTATTTACTCTAATTTGCATAAGATAAACTCAATTAAAAATCTAGATAGTGATCAAGCATCAAGAAAATCAATCAAGTTATAAAGCACAGTGATTAAGAATCCAACATCAAACGACAATCAATAAATAGGAAAAATAAGAAAACTGGATTATCATATTAGGGTTGCATCATGTCCTAGCACAAGAAATTCAGTTAGTTATAGTCATACGACATTCAAGAAAAGCAAAAAAAAAAAAAAAAAAAAAAAAAAAAAAAAAAAAAAAAAACACAAACCTTCGCAAAGTTGCGCTCTCTTTGACGCTCTCTAATTTCTTGAAGTCTTGTATTACTCTTTGTAAGAAGATTTTTCCACACTTAAATACCTCACGTCATATTCCTAACCTAGCTAGGTTTTTACAGTAGCCCAAAAATAAAGAGAAACCTAATTAAAACATAAATCCTTAACGGGTAAGTGACAGAGGGCGTAGTGGGCAAAGAAATAAAACAAATAAACCTTTAGTCCTTGTTGATTCTCTTGATGAGAATAGCTAAGAACAAAGGGCTCTATGCCTTATTGATTCCCATGGAATACCAAGTTGATAGAAAAAGAGAAAGTTCTTTTCGAATTTTAATTCATAAATTGATTCATCAAACGCTGCCTTTCTTACAATTTCATGCATTATTTATAGGAGCCTCTCAATCAAGATGAGATAATTCTTCATAACTCCCATAAAATGAGATAAGATAATATTAGAAAATTATGACGAGATAACTCCTCATAACTCCTCTAAACCTTTCCTATCCTAACTTCCCTCCTAATGATAATTTCACTTTATATCTCCCCATTACTAACAAAGATGAAAAGACTCCCCTTCCTCTAGTCATGAACCAAGATAACTCCCATATACGAAGAGACACTTATTTAGTATAGGTTATTAAGACTTTCCTCATGCATGAATGCAATCCCTATGGTCCATGAATGTATTTGCTAAACTCGCTGCATCAGTAAGTAATTGACTCATCTTCCAACACTTTGATTGGGATAACACATCAGCTGCTCAGCACAGATGTTTTGGGGCTGATAAACCTTCTGAACAAATATGGAACAATATGTAAATTGTAGCTCTTTGTCTTTGTTTTCCAACCATATATCGCACGCCTTGAGGAAAAACCAGGAAAGTCTGCAAATATTCATTCTCTCATAGCAACATTGTTTTGACAGGATTGTAACTTATGCTGACTTGAGTTGAAAGACTGCTCTCATTTGCTGCTACGAAAATTTTGTAAAACTTCCACAAGCCTATTCAAGGTCTTAGCTTCAATCTCCAATTGGTCTTGCATAAAAAAACTCCACCAAAAATTTGCATTTCTGTTGAAAGCAATTAAGAAGATCCATGGGGGCCAACAAAAGGGATCTGTATAGCATGGGTTTGGGGGAAGAAAGCCACCAACATGCACCATGTTCAATCGTTCAAGGTATTGGTCAAATCTGATCATTAAACTATAGAGCCACACCTCCATATCAAAATCTTAGATATAGGGATGGGTGGTAGGGTAGAAGCAACTGCAGCAAGCCAGTAGACAACCAAGAAAATCCTAAGGAAATATGAGGATTTTAGGGTTTGAGATTTTGTGGGATGGGAGAGAAGTGGACTAATGGGAGGTGAGTGGATGAGGGGAAAAGAGGGTGAGAGGTGTAATGACTGAAGAGTAATGGGAAAGGAGATGTGGAGGAGATCTGGGCCAACATCCGGAAAATCAAGGGAGGAAGGGCAATCCAAAACAAAAAGAAGAAAAAAGAAAAGGAAAAGCTACAAAAGAGAGTAGCGGAAAAGCCACACCATATGTGGCAGAGGTGCCGCCCAGAAGGGCGGCGGCATAGCCACCAACTGCTCAAAAGAGGGCGGTGGGGAAAGAGAGAAATTCTGGAGAGAAGAAGGAGCCTCTCTTTCTAAAGCTCTCTCGGGTTCTTGCGTTTTTTGAGCATCCATGTGGTACTTCCTCATCATCAATATTGATAATTACATTCATTGATTTTCTTTTACTTTCATGTATTTGTTGTGGTGCTTTGTTGGTCTTTTTATCAACACCTGCTCTTATTCTGCCGGACCTATGATTCTTCCTCAATCGACAAATCACAAAATTAATACCAGGAGTAGTTTGATCATGACCATCATCACCTACAAAAAGGCTATATTCATCCAAATACCACCCACCGTGGTGCTCCGACTTCGGATTCTTATATCGAAGCTGTCTTATTCTACCAATAGGATTAGCGTTTCCATCGTAAACCAATTTGGAGGCTACTCCTCCTCTCCAGGACCCTTCGCAGCCAACCTTGCGATGGGTACGCGAACCACTGAAGTTTAACCTCTTGAGCTGGCATAGGAAGTATAAGTCTTGATCATAGAGTTGATCTCCTCCATAATCTTCCCATATCTTCCATGGTTCTTTGGTGCCGAAGAGGTCCTCGTCATGAACAATGCCTTTGTATGACGGGTTCAAAGGCTCTCTCTCAACCACCATCTTGTGAAGAATGGAACGGATGATTTCTTGATCTGTGGGTTGGAAGCGGAATGCTAACGACACATGACGCGAATTAGCCATTAATGCTGATATATGATGGATCAAGTGGAGTAGTTCTTGTTTCTCTCTATTGTTTGCTTAAGGTTTTGATGGGACAAGAAGGCTAGGGCAAGAGATGTGTGGTATTTATAAGCATCACTGAGTCCATATAGGAATAGGAATTGGAAGACGTGCTTACTTATTGGGAATGAAAAAGTTGTAAATAAAGAAAACCTAGGTATATGAGAATTAGGGAATTAGAATTAGAATTCGAGTAATTACTCTCTTAGTCCACTCCCTAATTTTGAGGGGTATTGGATTACATATTTTAACGAGAAACACATAATTTTTATTTCTTACTTGTTTACTAAGTAACACGTATCTTGATAAGTAAACATGTAAATTACTTGGAGATGGGAGAATAAAAAGTAGCAAGGCCTTTGGAGTTTCAAATCGGGAACATGATTTTTCCATATGGAATGAGGAAAGCGTGGAGGATCATGAGCTTCGTCCACAGCCTCTGATCTAAGGCAATGGCTGTGTTTGCTTGTTTTTCTCATTTGAGTGGTACATTGAATAGTTGAGAATCCACTAGTTTTGGATGTGTCCGAATTTAAAAATTAAACTGAAAACAGGACTTAGAAAGAAAAAAAAGAAGTTCCTGGGTTGTTTTTGTGTTGTTCCCGGATTTTATATTTTTAATTCATATCTTCCTTTTGTTTAGGTTTTACAAGGTTACGTTTTTCTTTCTTTTGTCCAAATAAAACGAAATTCAAACTTGTAGAAGTTTTAAATTCCTACTATAATTCTTGGAATTAATATACTAATGACAACTAATTAGAAGAATCCCTTATAATAAAAAATAACCCTATGGTACTAGGGGTGTACAAGATCCAATCCAATCCGTTCAAACCAACAGATTCAATTTAATCAAATCCAATTTCAATCGGTTTCGATGATTTAGAGGATTGGATTGGATCCGTAATTTTCAAAACTGACATGATTGGATCGGATGATGAATTTGCTTATGAGAATCCAATCCAATCAAATCCAATTCAATCTAGTTAGTTTTATGCTTACTTTGCTCTTATAGGTATTTGTAGTTGAAAAGGTTATGCATATTTTAAGTCATTTAATGAAGTTATGTTTAATATATTATATAATCAAAACAATTTTCTCTAGTATTTACATTTACATCTATTAATATGTTTGATTGGATTAAACCTAAGGATAAATGTTTAATATTTCATTATTGTCTTTTTCCATTATCAAAATCGATCATCCAATTCAATCCAATATCAATTGGATTTAAACATCTAATATGATTGGATTAGAGTGAAAAAAATCACAATCCAATTATATTGGATCGAATACGAATTAACTAAATTGTATTGGTTTTGAACCGACGTACACCCTTATATGACACTATGCTCACATAAATTTGTTATTCATAAATGAGGTTGGAAATCTTGCTTCCATGCTGCTAATTATTGGCAAGAATGAAAACTAATGGGAAGAATGCCCCATTAATATATGAATAATACTAGTCTTACCACATTTTTTATACCACAATTTTATACCACATGATGTGGCAGTTGATGTGTATATACCACATCATGTAAAATACTAGTTTTTGTTTTTCTAATTTTATTTATTAAAATACACTTCATTCATTTAATTGATGTGGCATATGCCACATCATGTGGTATAGAAATGTGGGATAATAATGTGGTAAGTGCAGCATTACTCTTAATATATACATAACAACAATGCTAGGCTAGCTAAATTTGCAAAAAATTATAGTAAGTTGAGTGTGGGCAAAAACTCGAATGAACGAAAAATTACCACGTCAATATCAAACTATTACTTAACTTAGAGAGTAGAACCGTGTTGCTGATTATGATGCTGTTATTATGGGGCACAATTTGTCTTTGGATTTGTGTAGTTTTGTTGTCTTCCTACTTCTTTGGCTCTCATTTTGAATGATGATAGATTAAGCCAAATGTCGGCTCAAAGTATTATTTGTTAGTTAATTTAATTTAATTTTTGAGTTCGTTCCCCCTTTTTTTTTTTTTTTTTTTTTTTTTTTTTTTTTTTTATCAAAATGAGTTGGCTAAGTTCGTTGCAAGAATTCTATAGTGATGCTCTATCTCAAAATAAATAATCAAACGGTTAAAAAATAGGATCTCAAAGCTAAGTCCATTACAATTTGATTGTTCTTAGCCCAGTTTGGGCCTGGTATAAGAGCCCAACAAAAGAAAAACAAGATGGCAATAAGAATAAAAAATAAAACCGGGTAGAATTTGACCCCCAAAAAAAAAAGAGGGTAGGAAGACGAAAATGGCCAATGGGATGTGTACCCGCCAAAAAGACAGTTGACCAAGTCCACGCTGTCGCGTCCTTCCTTACTTCCTGGTTCTCCAGTAAAATTGAAAAAACCGTCCGAAAATTCAGAGGCGCAGAAAGAGAGAGAAACGCAATGCTTGAACGAGAGGAGAGAGTTTCTCTCTCCCTCTCTCTCTCTCTCTCTCTCTCTCTCTCTAACGCAGCGATCTTCTCTTCTCACTCTGAGAGAAAACGAAAAATGAGCGTCATCGACATCCTCTCCCGAGTCGACTCAATATGCAAGAAATACGACAAGTACGACATCGAGAAGCAGCACGACCTCAACCCTCACGGCGACGATGCCTTCGCTCGTCTCTACGCTCGCTTCGACGACGAAATCCAAGCCACTAGCCAGGTTTTTTTAGCTTCCTGTTTCCTCATTCGGTTGCCGAGAAAATGCAGGAAAAGTTTGAGTTTGTGGTATTTGGGATGTGCAGAAAGCCGAGAAGGCTGCGACCGAGACTAATCGGGCTGTGGCTGTGGCGTCCAATGTCGAGATTCGTCGGACCAAAGCTCGATTGATGGAGGAAATTCCTAAGCTGCGCAAATTGGCTCAGAGAAAGGTGAAATCAAATCTCTGTTTATTGATTTTTAAATTTAGGAAATTTTTTTTATTTTTTATTTGGTTTTGTGCAAGCTGACTTTTTTATGAAAGATGTGTGATTAGATATGATTTGGTGGGTCACATTTTATGAAAATTTAATTCTGATGATGGGGTCGATTGAGATTGTGTGTACGGATAAACTGAGTGATAATAGCTCCAAATTGATGTCATATTCTTATCTGATAGCTGGCTATATCTCCAAAGTCAACAGCTTCTTGGTTTTGGAAAAGTGGTGTAGTTTGAGCCGGACCGTTACCGTGGGTCTATCAATGAAAATGATTCAAAAGATAAGCATGTCATATTCTTATCTGATAGCTGGCTTTATTTCCAAAGTCAATAGCATCTTGGTTTTGGAAAAGTGGTGTAGATTGAGCCGGACCATTACCGTGGGTCTATCAATGAAAATGATTCACAAGATAAGGGAAACAAGAGTGTTTCTTGTAGTAATGAAACAAAACAATCATCTTCAAAGAAATAGGGTTACTGTAGCAGAATCTAGAAGGAACTAGACTAGGAAGTACAAGACTTTTGTCAGGGAGGACAGAGAGGAGGCATACGGTTGTCTAGAGATTATGCTAAAAGGAGACAATTGTAACCTCGGTAGATATCTCCCAAGGGATATTGCATTTCCTCTTTTTTGTACAATTTTGATTCTGGAACAATTGGCATAAGCATTGGGACTCTATAAAGTCCTGCATTAACAAGCAGATAGAGAACCCCATTCTGATGAATTCTTGAGGGGTTGATTAGAATGTATCAGTTTCTCTGCTCTAATGACTTGGCATGCATTTGCTCGTCTTGCTTGATATGTATTTGCTTCTATGAGTTTCTTGGGAGGCCTTTTATTCTGTCATACTTTACCAGCTCTGCATTCTTGGAGCAAATATGGTGTTCTTAAGGGCTTCAAATCATCTTCGTTTTGTTAATTCCCTCAAGGCTATATTACAATTTCATATCTCCTATTCATGTTTTACCCTCAATTGACACCACCTCCTAATATGTTACCTTGCTTCAAAAGTATACTTACCACCTTTTGGCAACTGATGTGGATTTTGCTTTGACAACTGAAATTGCAAACGTAACCAACCCATATTAGGTTTTCTTAATAATTTTGGTAGTAGCATCTAACTGCGATAACCATTTTCTCAGAGAATTCTTGAGAACTTCAGCCTGCAACGCCGGGGCATGAACTCTTGATCATTAATTGATCACAAGAGGATGCATGCCTATCATGGGCAATATTTTAAAATGCTCACAACTAGACTTTTATCTTTTCAACTTAGATTTGTTGATTTTATCACCAGTGTGGCATTGTGTAGGTTCGATTGTTTTGCAGCCTGAAAACGTTTGAAAAACTCCAAGTTCATAACACGAATTGTTTTCTAATCCCTTACAATAACAGGTTAAAGGGCTGTCCAAAGAAGACCTAGAAACACGCAATGATCTGGTTCTTGCACTGCCAGAGAGGATACAAGAAATACCAGATGGGTCAGAAACTGCAGCCACAAAAGCTGGGGGATGGGTAACTTCAGCATCTCATAAAAATATCAAATTCGACTCATCAGGTAATCAGTGTTTTTTATGCTTTTTTTTGTTTGTTTTGTGGTTATATTTTTCAATGAATGCCTTTTGTTCGATTATTAATACTAGTGTGTTTCCTTACCAATCAGATGGGAACTTTGACAGTGCTTTTTTCCAGCAAAACGAAGAATCAAATCAATTCAGGACGGAGTATGAAATGCGTAAAATGAAACAAGTATGTAACATTTTTTAAATTAATTTAGTTTCTTTTACATTTTGCTCTGTAATCAACAAAGAAGAGAGAAGAATCATTTAGTAATACAGTTGCCTCTAGCTCTTGTATGCTATAACTCTGCACTTCTTTTGATTCAGTTGGTCATTTGTGCAGGATGAAGGTCTAGATATCATATCAGAAGGATTGGGAACACTGAAAAATTTGGCCCATGATATGAATGAGGTTTGGATGTGATTCACATACCTCTGTTTCATTTTGTTATTAGAAGAGTTTAGAGATTGATCATTGTTTCAATATTTTCAGGAATTGGATCGGCAAGTCCCACTAATTGATGAAATAGATACAAAAGTGAGTGCTTATTCTCTCACTGAAATCCTAGTCTTCTCAATGACATCTGGGAGAAATAATGTTGCAAGCATTTTATAAGTTCAATACTTACTGATGATGTTTTGGTGCCTTGACAGGTGGACAAGGTTACATCGGAAATAAAGAGTAACAATGTTAGGCTCAAGGACAATCTTCACAAGGTATCTGTAAGCTGACCTTACTGATCAGTTCCAATTCTCACATTATGCAGGCAGGGTTATAATTATTAGAACCTTTGCTTTTTTTGGTTTTCCTTTTTGCAGGTGAGGTCGAGCCGAAATTTCTGCATTGACATTATTTTGTTGTGTGTAATTCTCGGAATCGCCTTCTATATATACAAGTAAGTATCTCGCTCTGTGCATGTACTCAGAAATTGTAAATTCATAATCCCCAAATGCTAAGAGGTACTTCCTTGGAGCTGTAGAGTTGAAACGTTCTTTCAAATTGATACACGAATTTGTCTTCTGGAACACGTCTCATAAAACATTCAACTAAGTGTCATTAGGTTGATTTTATAGTCATGACACATATATTTCGGTTTTATGAATTAAAAAGAAAAGGTTCTGTTTTCTGAATATGCTTTAGAACTGTTCCTACATCTTTCATGGGTGTCTGCTGTTATGACTTCCTGCAGACCAAATAGTCTATCCATCATTATTTACTTTTGAACTGTATTTCCTAATTTTGTACTTAGAATTTTGTCTTCCCTTTAGCAAATGAATTCTACTCTTCTTTTGCAGTGCGCTGAGATGAAATTGCATTCAGAAGGCTTCGATCAGCAGCTATTATTGGACCATATATTGCCTGGGCTTTCCTTATAACTTTTTAGCAAGTTCAAGTACGCCCTCAATTATCAAAACTAGTTTTGGCTAATTGAAGATGATTATTATATAATTTCTTACTCAGTGGTTCTTCTCTCAATAAAATGGAATTTAATTTGTAGTTTAGGTTCATTTATTCCTGTCTGTACTTATCATGCTATTAATTTATTAAGCATCAGTTTATATTGGTACAACAAATGTTTCCTAAAGTCTGTTATCTTGACCATAATCCGTACTGTGAGTAGGGAAAAGTGTTTTGCAGAAGTATTTAACGATGTCAAGTTTGCTTTCTGTACAAGTAAAGAATTGATAAAACCATGAAAGGATAACGAACTGAATTTACATAACAATGGCCGATATTACTGAGAATTCTACTTTACATTACATAACAGCTTCAGAAAAGTTTTTTCTTTTATTTTTTCCCATGATCAAGCATAAGCTTTTATGTCTAGCCATAAGACTATTTATTACACCAGTATTGTATGGACAATACACATATACACATAAACAGAGTTAAGTAGACAGAAAATACACAGATTACTGATTCGGTTAGGCCAATCCATACCATGCATTGTACACCTTGTTTACATTTCATGCTGTATAGCCTGAAACTATCGCCTCCTGACTGTCCGTTCTTTGAGGATCATAGCTTTCTGCAAAGAGTTTACTTCATTACTCGAAGTATGTCCCTGGGAAGGTCATTTCATTAAACTTCTCAAAGTTGGTGGGATCGGTTGGATGAGCATTGAGTAGTTCATACTGGGAGTGGTTTGGGATGTAGCAGTTGATAGCGTTGCCTGCCGGTCTCATGCTAGGCAGAAGATTCTCATCTATTTTCTTGCTTTCACGATTGTTGATGAGTGGAAAGTGATTTTCTTCTGTACTTTTCATTTTTAGTGTGTTGGAATCAATGCCCGAAGAAGAAATTGATATTGTTGATTTTACCATATTATTTGAACCAACTTCATAGCTATCTTTGCTCCCTTGAAAGCTCACGCTTGAATTGGTCTCTGTTGGAGATGGAGCTTGACTGGAAAGTATGGAAGCTAATAGTTGGCAGTCTTTATATAGAAAATCGGTGATAATATCAGCATGAAGGTTTGCATATGTAGGCTGTGTCTGCTCAACTTTTGGTAGGTACCTCCAAAATTCTGTGCTATAGTTGTCTTGACTGTTGCATGTGTTCTTTGATCTATTTCCTCTCTGTTGAACTCGACATAGTACCCAATCATCCAACTGTAACAACAAGAAGCATTTTTTTAATTGCCTTTGAGATTACATTGTTCTTATCAAAGTTGATATCCGAACTACATAACCAAGTGATAAAAAAACACATCTGTGTTCCAATCAAAAAACAAAATAGATATTTCACAAATTTAAGTACGATATGTCTGCACAAGATTGAGTATCTTGAATCTTGAGGAACAATATTTAAGAGGGAGCCTAGGCTAGCATGAAAACCTTCTATAAGCTTCACAAATACGAGGAGTGAAGACTTAGCTAGAGTGTGGTAACTCTAAACGGTTGATGGAGGTCACTCCCATCAACGGTTATCAGTCACATGCACGTGGGTGACTGACACTAGCATTTTTTACAGTGTGAAACAAAGTAATGTGTTAGTTGATTAGAAGTCTATGCCCTAACCAAGGAGGTTCTGGTATTGGATACACTAATATGTATCTAAGGCCCTCGAAGTGGTTTGCTCCATCTTTTTGAGATACATATATTTTGAGATTCATATATGGATATATGCAATCTCAATATCTCATTATATACACTTACTCTCATAGACCCTTTTAACCTTGATGGTTTAATGGTATTGTCAAGCAGTCTGTACTCGTTCATGATCCATTCAGTTTTAACTCCTTTTGGAGCACGACCAGTGTAAAAGGCTAAAGCCTTCTTCACCCCGATGCGCTTCAATCCACGAGAGGTAAGAATTGGCTTGTCACTGCTAGCAGCCTTCCAATAGCCTGACGCTGCTGCTCTATTTGGCCTCACCCCATTTGGATACTTCCGGTCCCTCGGGCTGAAGAAATACCATTCATCTTCTCCAAACAAAGCATTGTCTGCAAAAACCAAGGAAGGAAAAAAAAAAACATATTTAGCTGCTATGATTCATATAGAAGGATCAACCCCTCTGAGGAATTAAATCAGTGAATGCTGCGGAACTGACTGGGTAGCTCCCACGGATTATACTTATAGAGATCGATTTCAGTGATCAACTGCGCTGGAAGTGGATGCGAAATCACTTTGTTTCGCAAGTAATGAACAATGAGTTCTTCATCAGATGGATGGAATTTGAAACCAGGAGGTAATAATTGCAAAGCTGAAGAAGGAAACGTTGACACTTTCTCCATTGAAAGCAGAGTTTCTTGGATGATGAGAGAAGAAACAGAAGCAACGATAATATCAATCGAAAACAGTTGGTATTGGAAAAAGGGAAGTGGCGTGGAGGCATTATATGTGGAATTTTCATGCAGATGTGGACATTACGTGAGATATATAGTTTACAAGATGGTGTCACGTAAATGTTTGAACTCTTGAAGAAAGGGACTGAGAGACAGCTACCCCTTTGGATTTTCATATTGGAATTACATTCTTCGACCAACCTGTTTGGATTGTATGGTCATTTGGCCCCAACTTAATGTAATTTGGATGTGGGGAATATTATGCATTTATGGATATACCGAATGGAATATTACATGAGGAGAAAGTCAGCTCATAAAACGGTAAAAACCAGTAGCTCATGTGGATAAATTGATTAATGCATGCTGTAAAGAAGAAGAGTTATCTTGGTTTCTACTGAGTTTTGGTAAATTCTCTGTCTTAACATTGCCTTACTCACTTTGCACAGGATCTACGTACCTATAGCTCCACTAGGTCTACATTACTTGTTAGAATATTAATAGTTGTTGACTCACATCATATCATAACATGATGTAGAAAATATGGCTGAGGCGATAGAAGAAGGGTTGGAACGTTGCGCCACAAAACAAAAAAAAAAAAAAAAAAAAAAAAACCTAAGCCTCGGAGCTCCGATTTGGGTCCATGAGCCACTGTTTCGAAGGGAACGGCGCCAATAAATGGGTCCATGACCCACCGTCCTTGGCCCTTTTGTTAGGAGAAAAATATACTCGAAACTGGAATACATCCTCACTCTTGCCGTCTCTCTCATGTTGTGAGATGGAGAGTTAACTAAGTTTTTCTCCTTTGTTAGGGGATAGAATTCCTTTGAACAAATTAAATAGAAGGAAAAACTGTCAATTTCACTATTACTGTAGCAAATTGACAGAATATTGATACTTAATTTAAGTCATATCAAGACTATATAGGAATGTTCACCATCGAAATAATGAGACAATATCAACAACATATCGAAATGGTATCGATATAATGGGACTATTTGCTACACTAATAATGTTACTTGAGAATTTTGCTACAATAATATTTATAAGGGAGATTCACTATTATACCCAATAGAGGGACTCAAATTATAAAAATACCATATATGAAATGGATTTTAGAAACACGCCCAAAACCTATTTACAACATAACAAAGAGACTTTTAACTTCTTATAAATTATAAAACTGCCATCAATTTCTTAAAACAAGCCCAATCCCAAAACCTCATAAAAAAACCAAAAATACTTAATAAGGTATTAAAGTAATTTAATAATCAAACTTAAATTCAATAGGGCCAGTTGTCAATTTTTGGGTTTGTTTATAGAAATTCAATGATGTAGGGTTTATTTATATTATTAGTGCTAAGAATGGGTATATCACTAAATACTTCTATTTATAAATCTTTCCCTTAAGTAAATTATTTCATTTTTGAGAAAGTGAATTCATTCATAGAACCAAAGGCGTACATAGAGCGACACGATACAATGACCTCGTTAAAACCTTCCTAGGAAACTGCATGGGACAACCCCAAGGGAGGAAAGAGTACCACACATGTCATGGACTAACAAGAGAGGTCGATTCATATCATTTTGGACCATTACAATAAAAGAACAAAACAAAAATGAAAACTAACACAGATCTCCGACAAGAATCGCAACTAGAGACCAGCACAGTAGACCCATAGAAGAGGACTGCAAAGCATCCCAACAACAAAAAAAAAAAAAAAAAAAAAAAAAAAAACCAATAAATCAAATCTCATGAGGAAAAAGCAAAAAAACAAACTCATTGTCACCAACACCAACACAAAGTCATACCAAGAGCAGAAACCAAGAGAGAAACCACGGGGGAGGAGGAACACAAAAATAACAGTAAAAAGAACTCCTGAGAAGCACCCAATTTCAACTCAAAACTTGCCAAAGAAAACATGATATGACAAAGCATAGTTCTTCGGTCGGCGCAGAGCAGAGAAGAGCTTCAAGGGATCAACAGAACAGGGAAAAACAAAAGGATAGCCAAACATAAACTAAAGACACATAAAACAAGACCCCAACAAGATTGGCCTCTTAGCTTGACGAACTTCCAACCAAAGAACATCATAAGGGTAAAGTTTATTAGATGCCAAGCCCACAAACGTTCCTGCAAACACATCAAGGAGAATTGGGAGACCTTCAAGGTTGTCCTTTGACACCTTAGCAACAAGCTCGTCGATGTAGAAAAATTGCTAAAAAACAGTAGATTCTTGAAAACAACTCAAATCCCAGAGCCTCGACATAAAAGAATCCATCGAGAGAGGAACATAGAGTGCAGAACAATCTAGACGCCAACCACCTGGAAACCCCCAACTTGCACCAACAGCACCTCGCGATGCCTGCTCTATCGCAACCATCACCATCAAACCACCAAACCACCAAACCACCAGAGAACGAGGGACCCTTACGTGACAGTCCCCCTCGTTTGCCAAAATCTTAGGGCCACCAAACCCTACAACAGAGAATAGTGCACGAAGACCACATAGACCCATCAACCAATACAAGATTCGGGAAGGACAACAACTAGTGCCGAGGGGGAGCCCCAGAACTAGACGACGCCAATAAGAGCTAGACAACTAGAGCCAGACGATGCCCAAGAGAACCGGATGAGAGGTGTGAAGGGCTGATCGAAGAAGAAATGAGATTAGATTTGGTTGATGTGAAGGAATAACCCACATCGACAAATTCCAATCGAAACCCATGAACTTGAAACCACCACTACAAACCACCACGCCGAGAAGACACCCCACCACCTATTCAAAGTCAGAGAAAGACGAGCGGCACCGACGAAACCCTAACCTTAATTTTGACGTGACATCTCTCCTTGTGTACGAGAGAGCAACCTTTACAACTTTGTATTAGCTACATTAATTAAATAAAGGGTAAATTGCCGAATACCCCATGAACTATATTGATTGTCGAAATCTCCACCTTGAATTATTTTTTCAGCCAATTTAGCCCTCATATTATTTGAAATGGTCAATTTAGCCCATGCCATTAGTTTTCATGCAATTTCATCCAATTTTCTGTCTACATGTCACATGGTAGGCACATGACTCACGGTTCAATTAAAATTTATTTATTTTAATTTTAAAGCACTTCAATTAAAAATTAATTTTTTTTAAGTTTAAAATAATTAAATTTTAAATCACTTTAGCGCCCTCGACCTAACCCATGCCTTCTTCAAGCCCATCTCTGGCGCTGCCATTCAAGGAGACAACACACCAGATTTGCGGCATCTAAACCAGGATCCAAAGGCATCATCTCAATCTCTGGATCCAAAGCAAAGGTTGCTTGCATACTCCACCTCCTTCTCAATCTTTTGATTTCGATGCTTCCAGCAAGAGGTCAGGGAAAGTAAGCAAGCTAAGCTACCCGTCACAGTAGGATCCGACCTCTGCATCGTCACCTGCTCCACCGGTAAAGTTTTGAATTAGCAATTAGAAAGGCGGTTCATCTAGAGGTGACCAAAGATCCAACTGGCATACTACAGCTTTGCTACAAGATTAAATCCGAAATCGAAGACCCTATTGTCACCTTCCATTTCAATGGTGCAGATGTGAAGCAAAAACATGTGAACGTTTTTGTTAGGGTTAGAGAAGATATTGTTTGTCTTTCATTTCCCCCAACCAATGATGTGGCAATCTATGGGAATGGTTTTTTGGTTATCAATTTTGGATACATGGTTTTGTTTTTTTCGTTTAGGGAAGAGGGATGAAGAAGACTGTTTTTTGTTTTTACATTTTTTTTATTTTTTATTTGTAAAATGAAAAACATACCCTTATAATTGACGGAAAATTAGATGGAAGTGTAGAAACTTGACGATAGGTGTTAAATTGCCGATAAAATTTATTATAAGGGCTAAATTGGCTGAAAAAAATAATTCATGGTGGACATTTCGACAAACGTTATAATTCAAGGGGGTTTTCGGCACTTTACCCTTAAATAAAACATCTCATTGGCAAAAATTGTTATGGGGCAGTGGATGAGAGGCTTTGATGTCAATCTTGGTGTAGGAAAAGTCTTGGAAGCTGAGTTATGGGGCATCTATCTTGGACTGAAAATTGTTTGGGATATAGGTTGCAGTGCAGTTGTGCTTGAGTCTGACTTAGCAACCGCGGTACACCTGCTTAACAAAAATGTGGAAGACCTTCATCCTCTTGCTACTATGTTGTGGGGATGCCAAGACTATATAAACAAAAACTGGGTTTGTTCTATTCATCATGTATATCGTGAGTGCAACATGGTAGCGGATAAACTAGTTGAATTGGGTTCATGTCTTGAGTTGGGTCTGTCAACTTTCCATGACCCTCCTGACAGTATTAGGTCATTTCTTAGTGAAGATTTACTTGAAGTTTGTAGGCCTTGAGCCATTGTTTAATTTCTTTGTTGGGCGTTAGCCTCGTTTCTTCACCCAAAAAAAACATCTCATTGGCCAAAACAATGTTGATAGTTAATTAAATATTTACCAGAAAATTTTAATAATTTATTATGATTGTTGTTTTGCATTGTTGCTTGGAATTAATAAAGATTTTAACGGCGGTAAAAACACCATTTCCCATCTGTTTTCAACGCAATGGTGCTCCAAATTGGCTGGATACAGGCCGGACTCAGATTGTGACAAATCAGATTGTCAATGCATGCAACGTTGTCTTTAATTGTTCCAAATCTTCAACATCGGATTAACAAAAAGATGCTCTTAACACTTCTTGCCTTCCACAACTTAGTTTTCCACGAACCAAGGTTCATGGAGAAGCTGTCCTCTCTCACTTGTGCAAAGACATAGTCCACCACCAACATAAACACTAAAACTGTATCTTTCTGCCATTGAAAGTCTCCTTGTTTCTACTTGTGGTTTGAGCGACGTCTCACTCTCTAGCCTCTCCCAAAACTTCATGATCAACATGTCCGATATAAATTATTTTTAATTCTGTATAAATATATTTTTTTAGATAATTAGGCAGAGTTGTAAGGCCTGAAAACATTCTGTAATATATGAATTCAAATTTGTTGTTTTATTCAACTTATTACTCTTCATGTTTATTCAAAAACAGTGTTAAAATTTATCGAGACAAATATATATAACTGGTTGCATTTATGGAACAAAAAGATCACACAAAAACCAATTGCTACATGTATTTTCATAGTCAATTTTTCATAAACATATGAGAGGTGCCACATAATTTCATCTCGAAATCTTTTTATAACATCAATCTCGTTCCAAATTTGATGATTGCGTTGAACCTAATCACATTTGTTGACCTACTATACGAGCGAGTTTTTCTATAATAAGATAATTAAGTGGCCAACAATACGCATGATTAGTAAGTATGATGCATCAAATGAAATAGTTTTATTTGTTGGTTTATATAGTAATATACAACTTCAACAAAAAATAAATTGCTAATGTCGAGCCCTTCCTGCTTGCAAGTCTCTCTCTTACGTACTCTCTTCATCATATACGTGCATGGGCATGGGGTCCATAATTCTAGTAATTTAGTAAGAAAATCCATAAAACCGATGCCCATTTGAGCTATTAGAGTTAAGAGAAGACTTTGTTATGAAAAAAATTAATCAGGAAAAGCTTAGCTTTAACTATCTTCGATGAGAACAGCACGATGAAACCCAGGTATTAATTTGTTTCGATGTAGATGAATACTCAAACTCTATCTGCTGTTGTATATATAGAAATTATTTCTCATGCATAAAAGCATAGGATTATGAACCTTGTTCGAATCGATTAATAAATTATTCAATGTTTATGGGATCGAATCCTAGGTGGGTTTGTCCTTTTATGTCTGAATCAAAGGTCAAGCTATATCTTGTTCTTACGAACGTGCATGTGGGGACAGTTGATGGTTTATAATCCTATAGACCTTTTTTTATTAATTTTTTCTTTCTTTTTAGAAGAGAAAGGAAGAGAAGCAAGAGGGAAAGTTGTTGGAAGAGAGGGGTGAAGGAGAGAGAGAAGCATATATATGTTACTTTAAAAATTCAACTCATTTTTTTCATTGGAAATTTAGCGTAGGTCACAAAATCCTTTTGAAATTTGGGAAGAAATAATCCTATTTCTTCTTTTAAGTCTAATTAACAGTGCCCTTACGTTTGCTAACCGGATCTAATCCAGTGAAAAATGGACTTCATTTGCAAGCTTGTGGTCTCAAGTTTGCTCTCATTCTACAAAATCTTGAGGGTGGTGGCTCGCACTTGAGCACAGTATATTGGTCTGTCAATTCTAGTCCATTGCCTCTTCAGCTTCGGCTGGGAGGGGGTGGTTTGCTTGGAGTGATTATCCAGTCAGATGGCTTCCCTCTAAACCTTTTTTCTTTTTCTTTTTTCAAGTTGAATTTTGATGTTTTTGTGGAAGTCTCATCTTCACCAGCTGTGTTATGTGCTGTGTTCTAGGCTTGCGTTGAGTCCTAGCTGTTTCTTGATCCAACTCTGTTTGTATTCCTTTTGTCTCTGTTTTGCTCCTTCCCGTTTGGGTTGTTCAATGACATCATATTTCGACCAAAAAATAAAAAAAAAGTGCTGCCAGCCAACCTAGGTATTGGCATGCTTTGGGTGTAAGAAGATTCAAAACACTCTGATTATTTGCAGGTTTAAGTTTCGTCATATCTTCAGAGAGGCTGATTTTATTGTTGATGCTTTAACTATAGTTTAAGTAATTCTCTTCTTTTCTTTTTTTTCCTTCTTCTTTTTTATTTATTTTTATTTTTATTTTTATCTTTATTTTTATTTTTTATTTATCCATATTTGAGAATTCTCACTCCCTACCTTTGTGGTGTCAACTTTTGACTTTGATAGATGGGTCAACGAGTGTTGTAAGGGGTTTTGTGTTGACCTTTTCTCATTAAGCAAAAAAGAAGAAGAAAAGACACATGTCTATGAATTAATAAGCAACTCATCGTACAAAAGGCCGGTACCACATGATATGTAATTTTCTAATTTTTGTTTATCCACTAGAATAATTTTAGTGATCTCATATAACAATTTATTCATGAGCTATTAGCATTCAACACAAACATGGATGTAACGTTACATACATATATATTTTTGTCCAACACATTCTCAAGAGAATTAATCTCCCCTTCAGATTTGTAAAAGGATAAGGTACATTTTTGCCAATTCTCGAGGATGTATAGCAAAGTAAATTCAATCCAAAGAATACATTCCTTTATGATAAAAGGACGATATAATTATATTAGATCAATAGAATACAAAGAATACAAAGAACACATACTGTAAAGGGAGTCATCCTAATAATAATATGGCTGACAAAGAACATATACCGTAAAGGGAGCCGTTTATTAATAGAGTAGTGATCGTAGTATTTTAGATCCTCTACCTAACACATTGGAAAGTGCATATCCATCTTCCATCGTAACAACCTCCATAAACAGCCTCTTCCCTTTTCCTACATTGATCCTGACAGTGTGGTTCTATTATCTACATCTCCCACGCCATGCGGTGCTATTATAGACGTCGCATAAAATAAAATCTATGCAATATGGATGAAAACTATACTACAGAAAATATATTGCTATTAATATTTGTGAATTATTGGATTCAAGTTGAATATTTTTTTGATCACGTTTAATCTTAATTATTTATTTAAGTTGATCGAGTTTAATTATTACTAAGACCAGATACTTTATGTTTTTAATTTCAAATGATTTTGACCTATATTAATAAAATAATTACCCCTAGTAAAAGTTTATAACTAGAAGTAGAATGTCTAGTCCGAAGAAAACTATACTACAGAAAATATGTTGAAAAATTCGGAGACGGGGGTGAATGAAATATAATATTCTAACTAAACTGACGTTAAAGAGATAGCAAAAGTTCCATTGATGCCGTCTTGAGCAAGGTATGCTATAGGAGCAAATTGTTTGTTAAAAATTCTGAGAGGCTACGACAAGGTAGAAACGGGCAAAATGGCGTGCATCAGGGCTGCTAGGCAACTGTGCTAGGTTTGGTTCTCGATGAGATTCTACGGATTAATTGCAGACTGGTAAGTGTCTAGTACCTACATTATCTGTTGTTTGATGAGTATTTGTGGTGTGAGAGATGTTTAGTTGGTCTCTAGATGGTGTGCAAGATCCAATTCAGTTTGTCTAAATCAATCGATCTAATTCAATTTAATCTAAACTTTATTGGTTTTGATGATTTGGTGGATTGGATTGGATCCCTAATTTCTAAAACCGACATGTTGGATCGGATTACGGATTTGCTTGTGAGAATCCAATCAAATCCAATATCCAATAAAATCTAGTTAGTTTCATGCTTATTGTGCTCATTAGGTAATTTTCATTAAGAAAGTTATAAACGTTTTAAGTAATTTGATGGAGTTATGTTTAATATATTATAAAATCAAAATAATTTTCTCTAACATTTTATTTATATTTTACATTTACGTCTGTTAAAATGTTTGATTATATTAAACTTGATGATAAATGTTTCATATTATTATATAACTAGGGGAATTTGTAGAGAAATAAGAGGAAGAGAAAGACAAGAGAATTTGTTCTCTCAAACTTATTCCATTCATCTTTGATAAGCACCTATTTATAGGATTACAACTATAGGTATTTAACCCATAAATTATAGTCACTAATTACAACAATAAGAGCATAGGTTACATATATGAAAATGTGGAGATAATGGGTGTTATGGTGGTCATCCACATTCCCATATATTTATAACAAATATCTCATTATTATATTTTTTTCATTATGAAAACCGATCATCCAATCCAATCTAATTCAGTATCAATTGGATCATATCGGAATGGATTTAAACCTCTAATGTGATTGAATTGGAAAAATCATAATCCAATCTATATTAGATTGGATACGAATTGGTGAAATTGTATTGATTTTGAACCCATATGTACATCCCTTGCCAATATGAAAAATTCATTAATCCGCCAATCCTTTTCACTAGTGTACCTTTAATACAATTTGCGCATGTTTTAGGCGGGGAATTGGTCCGAAATGTTTTTTATTAGATTTTTTTTGGGATTTTGGGTTCATCCCACCCGCCTTGTAACAAAAAATAGAAGTTATCATGTCTAAAATATTTGATAATTCAAGCATGAATCAAGGAATTTAGATATTTTTATACTGGGGTTGGGGTATGCACACCTATCTTAAAAAGCCTAACCACATCTCAGGTTATAAAATAATAATAAAGGTAAATTTGTAATACCCTTTTTAATGTTATTTTAATTATTAATATTATTATTTTAGTTTTATGTAATTGACTTTTATTTTACTTGAAATTACACCAATGGGGATGACTTTTTTTAATTTGGTTGCAATATTTTGCAGCCCAATGGTGGCGCAGCCCCGTTTAGAGCTAGAGCCC